TCAGTCGGTCAGTCGGTCAGTCGGTCAGTCGGTCAGTCGGTCAGTCGGTCAGTCAGTCAGTCTGTCTGTCAGTTCTTAATGTTTCAATTTACCACTTACTAGCAAATAGCGTTTGTCTGCTTGTAACGAACGCCATGACCGATAACGACAAGATTATTGACGTCATTCCTACTTGCAACAACCTATGGTCAGATAAGATATTTCCCAGAAATTTCAGTCCCAGGACCGCGCCTATTGCCTGGACGCAAAAACTTAGCGCTAAGTAGTATCCAATCATGATGGCGTTACAGCATAACGGTCGATCCAGTGCGTACAATACAATAATACTACCAAATCCAATTGAGCACATGATCATCAGGCCAGAGATTATCATCAAAAGTGCCATGCGCCAATGACCACCAGATCGAGGCTTGGAAAATATATGAACAATGGCTATAACGTGATTTACGCTAAAGAATTTGAATTCAGATTTTTTGGCTTGGTTCACCGGTATGCGCGATTCAGGAAGAATAAAAACGACGTAGAAGAATGCAAAAGTATGAAGAAATAAAATAACCCAATATGGAGGGCGGAAACCGCTGTTATAAACCAGGTACCCACTTGTAAGATGACTTAGCATGCCGCTAAGGAAAGCTATGGCTTCAAGAACACCAAGACGAAAAGCACGCTCGGACTCGTCTGTTATGTCAGCGATGTATGAAAAGACTGACAGAACCATTGTCGGGAAAGACCCACACGATCCAACAAAGAAAGCACCAATCAGAAGCGTTGTAATCGGTAGCTTTAAATATATAACGACCAATACCAAAGCAGTTTCTATTGCACTTCCAAATAAGGGTAAACCCATGGCTTTTTTACGACCAACATGGTCGGACCAGGCTCCTAAGATAAGCGCGACTATCAGTGACGGCGCACTAGCCGAGAAGACTAGACCTAGCTGCATGTATGAGGATTCTGATTGGACCTGTCTCTGAATCCGTTTCGTATCCTCACTGGTTACCATTGGAAACGGCTCACAACTGCTTCTGCTTTCAGTTGAGTTGTAGATAAGTCCTTTCTCTTCACTGATTCTTTTGTGAATGTACTGTTGAATCACAGGAACGTGAAGAATGATTCCAAATGCATAGCAAAATATTACAGGTTCAACTGTGATTTGCCTGAAATATGATTCAACCTTTTGACAACACTTCTTTATATATAATTTCTCTTTACTGGGATCTATGTCTTTCTCCTCTATGGGTTGTGATTGGCTACCATCTTCCAGCTCGTCGTCATGGGAACCAATCTGATGATACGTCGTCAGGAACATAGTTGTCGTCGTATTCAAAAAAATCCTCTCTTAATATGGTTGGTCAATGACGTAGGTTGAACTCGTCTCAGACTCTTTCGGAAGCAGCATCTTGGATCAGGTCTGCCAATGAGAATGAAATTACAATTGATAACAGGTTTTGTGATCAGACAAGACAAAATGTAAGAGAGAAATTAGTATAGGAAATCGCACGATCTCGAGTACAATTTGGAAATTAATAGACACGAGTAATGTTTTGAAAGTTCTTGTAATTGCACGAGCCTTTAGGCGAGTGCAATTAAAGAATTTTCAAAACATTACGAGTGTCTATTAATTCCAAATTGTACGAGAAGATCGTGCGATTTTTTGTTTATAGTACAATCAACAAAATTTCAGTAAAAAATGCGAAGCGACGCCGTTCATCTTTGTCTATTTGGCGGCCGATTTTCAGCTCATCGCTTAACTGAAATGCATAAAAAATATTAGTTCTTACGGCTTAAAATTTTATTTATATGTTTTTTAAGTACAAAATGATAGAAAATAATTGTTTTGAC